TCGTCATCGTCATCATCACTGATGACGTCATCGTCACGTGACCCCCCCAGGTCACGTGACCCCTCCCCCCGAGGTCACGTGATCTCCCAGGTCACGTGACCCCCGAGGTCACGTGCCCCCCCCCCCCCCCCCCCCCTTCCGAGGTCAACTGATCCCCCAGTACCCTTCCCTCCTCCTCCTCAAGAGTTGCGCTCAAATTCGGCGTTACAGGGAGTTGTAAACGGCTTTCATTTTTTTTTCTTTCTTGTAATGTAAAATTGGCTAGCATTCTTTGGGTTACTGTCTATCAGTGTTGCGGAGTTGCAACTCCGGAGTTGGAATGATTCCGGAATCATTCCACATTTTCGCGACCCCGGAATGGAATGGGAATGGAATGGCGGCAAAGTTGAGGGGAATGGAATGGGAATGGAATTAGATGCCTTTTGCCCGGAATGGAATGGGAATGGAATGGGGCCCGGTTCTTTATATCTTTTTATTCATTTAATTTTTTTTACGTTTAGCTATATTGGGTTAGTCAGTGAGTCAGTTGTTCAGAATTAAAATGAGCTGGAAACTGCAAACCCGCGTGGAGCCCAAACAGACTTATACACAAAAAATGCCATACAAAAAACAAGCATCAAAGCAAGGGACAAAGGGGGAAGGGAAGGGGGGCGGCGGTGGCGCCTTTTACATGTGAAGTTCAACAGAAATCCGAATGCGTCTGCGCCTGTTGCACAGCTCAAGGGTACGTCATCAGTCGACGTGAACCTGACCCGCTGCTCTGGTGATTCGATACCCAGGAAGGAGGCCAGACGTGGCCTCGCTGTGCCGACCCAGACTTCGTACTCTTGCGACTCGTCTCAAGCGCGCTGTTTCTCGGAGAGCTCACACCTGTGCCGGCCATCTCAGGTCGCAATCCACAGGTCTTTGTTTGGATGATGCTAGCCGAAACTTGAGGACTGCCATTCATGGTTGGAGGCGGAAGGTCGGCAGGTGGGACCGTCACAACAGGGATGTCACAGTATCGATTTCTCAACCCTAACAGAAGATAAGGCATGTGCTCCAGGATGCAGGTGGTCCACCCTATTGTAACGAAGAAAATTCTAGGTGTCTTCTTCTCCGTTTATGAACGATCTTGATGTTAACAAACAACTGTTTATTTAAATGATCAGATATAAAATCATTACGACAGATATGGCCAATTCGTCAATAAATGTTGGGAGAATGATCCTAACCTAAGGAAACTTTCCCTGTCGTCCTCCTTGACCACACACACCCTCAGCGGGGGCCCCGACCACAGCCAAACTCGACAAACAAGGTTCCACACAAAGGCGGGTGAGCCGAACTCCTCCACAGCCGTAAGGGTACCAAGTTTGCGAGCCAGCGGGCGGACGGCCCCACAGCTGAAGGGGGGTCGGACGTGCAGGTGTGTTTTCCAGAGGCAGTGAGATGTCCAAGGCTTGGTATCCAGGAGCCAAGTCCCTTGCAGTCCCTCGGTGGTCGCTTATATTGAGTTCAGCAGCATTCCAGGGTCCTCCAGCCCACCAATCAGAAAGTTTTGGAAGGGCCAATCAAGAGAGGTTTTCTTAGCGCCAATCAAAAGACTCGGAGCCCAAAGCAAATACGAACATTCCAAAAACAAGCGCATATACGAGACAACACATTCCAAACGAAGCCCACAAGAGCAGCCATAAACAATAGAAAGCACATTCTTAGACACAGAAGTTATTATACATACGCAGAGCAAAACCACCTCCGAAGTAGAGATCCCACATGTAAACATACACAAGAAAAAACGTTTCCAACACGGGGTTCTATAAACTATGTGTAGCGTTACAGCGTTCACGTTCGCTCCCAGTTGGGGCCCCCCGACTCCGGTGCAATCCAACAGCCGTCCCGTGGAGACGGAAAGAACTCTCGGAGAAGGCAAAAACATAAATCGAAGCTAGACTAAATACTCGCGCGAGCAATACTTCGCAACACTATTCTCGAAAATTCCAAATGCAACTGCCTGCATGGTCTTGAACGAGGTTCCCTACAACGAAAGTATGTATTGTCCTCTCATACAGCAGCGTGGGTAAAGATTCATGTTCACGGCAACACCTACAGATACAAGAATACTTGTTCATTCCGCCGTGACGTCATCTGATCCGTGTTGACAGGGGCGCCCTTTTTGGACAGGGAAGTGATGATGTTTTGATGGAATTTATTTAGAGGTCAAGGTCTTTTCGCATCACTGGTCAGACAGGCAGGATGCCAGGGAAGGGATCGCGGTCAATCCTTGATGGAACGTTTTTTGAACCCATTGAAGACTCCTCTTCGTCTGGAACCACTATATTTAAGGCGAAGCTCCAAGCCTGTGGGAAAGTAATTTCGGGATAAAAAACAAAACAAAAAAACTTCCACTTCAAACTTAAAGCCTAATCTCAGTTGGCGTCTCAAAGAAATTTGAAAAATGTATTGCATTATCAGTATTTGTATTTCTGCCCCCCCCCCCTCCCCCCCATAAATTGTATTCCTGTAGTTGATTTTCCAAATTTTTGACTCTTTTTAAAATGTATTTCCGATACATATCGCGATACATTTTAACAGATATATTTGAGTATCAGTATTTTAGCTACTATTTTCATCTGTCCCAGTATTTGTAGTTTTAAATACATTTCTGACTATTTCTGCCCAACCCTGCAACGCAATGCACCTGTCAAGTGCCAATTTTTACGTTTAGGAGTTAGAGGAATGGAATGGAACGATTCAGCCATTCCAGGAGTGGGAATGGGCCCAGTGTCCCCATTCCTAGGAGTTGAAAGGAATGGAATTATCGAAAACACTAATTCCCCGGAACGGAGTTGGAATGGAATGAGGGTGCCCATTCCGCAACACTGCTGTCTATTGCTATTGTGCCCAGGTAATCATGCCACTTGACATCAAGGGGGTCATCCCTTGCCATCTCTCTTACTGAACATCATGATGAATTTATGCAAGCCAGCAAAGACACGTACTCTATGAATAAGGTTGTAGACCTGGTCAACAAGTTCTTAGGAACGCGGCGTCATCCTTTTAAACCTTTCAACGGAAGTTTACGAGGCCCTATGGAGAGGCTCAATGCGCGCGACACTTGTTAACATTTTCTACAATTGCTTCGCGTTTTGTTCCAAAACAGCCTCTAATCCACAAGCGCATCTGCTTCATTTTCACCCAGTGAAACCTGAATTTCCCAATAATTGAATCTAACGATACAGAAACGTCCCAAGGTGTATAATAAAACGAACGTTTGTATTTCGTAAAATGGTGAAATATACGCATTGCCGTCATGGTTGTTGCCACCACCACCATCGTTTTCAGTCAGTATTGACCCTTTCCGGAATTCAGTCTGGCAACTTTGACCACTATCATTATCTGAAAAATGGTATATGTGCTATACTAATGGCGGTCGTTTATTTAGTGATGAAGGAAGAAGCTGAAGATGCTCCTAAACAGATGATTTGATGCCTACACATTTTAGACGTTAGAGCGGCGTGAAGCAGGAATTTGATGCAAGAGCTGCGTAAGCGTTCATTTCTAACTCGGTCCCAGTCGATCTGTTAGAAGCACACACTGGGCTTCAAACCCCCTTGATGAATAGAATTTGATCGAGGCGTCAATGTGGGCTGGCTCTTCGTTCTGACTGGTTACATATTTTTCGCCATCGTCCCTGAAAGAGATTGAAAAGGTACTGCACAATGAAGCGCGCATTCTCGTTTACCGTTGACTTGCGAAAGTGACGGTGCCCGCCTAATATACTGCAGACCACGGGTTCATTGCCGCCATTAGTATGGTAAAAGTTAAACATCCATTTGAGTCACCAGATAGCGCTGAATTCCGGAAAGGGTCCATTATCATCAGCATTAGGAGCCTCATGAAGAGCCTTAGCCCAGGGCCCCAAAATTCCTTAATCCGGCCCTGCCGAGTTGCATTATCAGTCACTGTCTCGTTTCAGTCTTTCCACTCTTCGACTTCACAGAAATCGCAATTCGTTTTTAATCATCATATCAAACGTCAAAATTGCTATTATATTCTCCGCAATTTCAGATGATTCATTACTTACTTTTAATGTGTGGAGAGAAAGCATACTCGTGCTTGTCACACTGGCTTTGCTCGCACTTATGATAGAACGGGACATAGATACATCCACATGCTCGCGTCCGCAGCCGCAAGAGCGTTGCAAGCTATGCATTTTGTGAAGCGTGGTACGCGAGCACGTACGCCACACTTGACGAGCGAGCGCACTCCGCACCTCCGCACGCACTCATAAAAGCGACGCCGAGCACGAGCAGGAACAGGCCGTTTTGAACGGCGCTCTCATGTCACGGCCTTCCGTGCATGCCAAGTCGACAGTGTTTCTCGCCATTACATCGCTCGCGCTTACGGCAGAATGGAGTGCATAACTCACTCTAAACAGCCGTCTTTTTGTATTCTGGTGAGCTTTATACAGATTCCTAGATCGCATAAGTTAGCGGCCCCTGTCGAATTGAAACCTTCTCGACCGATCCGGTGAAGCAAGATCTTTCTCAGAGGTTCATTTTTCGTTCCAGAGAGCACTGAAAGGCCCTCCGGCTGACTTTCCCAGAGACGCGGCAGCCCATTAGCCGCGGCGTAGCAAGTTCAACAGCTCGGGAAAGTAATGGCGGCCGGAAGTCCAAAACCAAAAGCTGGATGAGACGTGACTTCATTGGTCCATAGTGTGCGCGGCGGCTTGTTCAAAGAATGGCGCCCCTTGTCCCGGCTTCGGGGGCTTTACGTTCATTGCTAACTCGGTTGTCTGCGAACACGGCCAGTGGACTCTGGCAAGTTTGTTGGTATCAGTTTTCACAGAAATAGAGCTACGTCCTGAGCTTCTACTAAGTTAAATTCGCCACCTAAGTAGTGCACACTCAATGAACTCATGAGCTTGTAACGTGCAGGCACAGATTTTTCCGGTTCGTTCTACAGCGTAGCATATATTGCGGTCACGTTACATATCCGAGGAATGACTGACCGGGAACCAAGTTGCTCTTCTTGCTAGCGCCCTTGATCGGCTGGACCTTGGAACCCTTTGCCAGCGCGATGTCGCTGGCGTTGGCCAGGCGGAACTTGATCAGGTGCATCTTGTAGCGGCGCTCACTGGTGTTGCCACCCGACTCGCCCTGGGGTTCCCCTCCCATGTCGGCGCCCATGAACTGGGCGGCGCCGCCCTGGTTCCGGCTGCGGAGTTTGTCGACGCCCCCCTGTTTGTACAGGTACTCCTGCGAGGGGGGCGGCCGCTCGGTGGGTGAGAAGGGGCGCAGGAACAATCCCTCGCCTCTCCTTTAAGGAAAAATGACTGCGCAATCTTGTGAAGAACGAAAAATGTGAGGCCAATTTAGAACTGAAAATGAGCGCTTAATCAGACGAGGTTGTGCCTACGCGTACTTACAAAGCAAGCGGCGACAGAACAGCTACTGTTCAGAAGTGGCGCGCTACGGCCGTATTTGTACACGCAGTAGGTTCAGGGATGTTTTGAACCAGGAAGCACACTTTGACAGCCGAGAATAGGCTGGTAATTTCCAGAAGAACGAGGCTTGATAAAAGTAAGAACCGGGCTGAGCGGGGTGTGAACACCGTTCCTCCACGTGGTATATCGCCTGCGTGGCCAACTCCGCACGCACGCGGCAATATTTCCGTTGCCAGTCTCGTTTTGAGTTTCGCGACGGGCTTCCTTTTCGTGCTTCTACATGGTGTTCTGAGCGGACCTTCCATCGTAAAACGAGCCGGAAAAATCGGCGCCTGCACGCAGAAAACTCAAAACTTTCACCGAATGTGCACTGAGCAGGCCAGTTTCACCCTGTGAAATTTCAAGATGCAGTTCTCTTCTCGTAGCAAAAAAAAGAAAAAAAAAAAGAAAAGGAAAGCCCTGTTAAAGTTATGTTCGGGGGCGTTCGCAGACGACCGAGTTAGCGACGCTAATTTACTTGAGGTGCCGCCTCCCGATTGTCGCAGCGAGCAGACGAAGCGCTCTGCTGTCTGCTTCCTGCGCCTATCGGGAGATGGCGTCGCAAGGAAATTGCGTCACTAACTCGGTCATCTGCGAACGCGCCCGCACTTGACTTTGGCACGTTTTTTTTGTTTTTTTTTCGCCTTCATTATTTTTTACAGAAAAAAAAGCGCCTTGATATTTCGCACGGTAAAAGTGACCTACTCAGTGCACATTCAGTGAAAGTTTGAATTTTCTAAGCAAACAGTAACGTCAAAAAAAAGGGAAGATTATTCCGGGTGCAGCTGGGCAGTGAAAGGAGGGGGGTAGGGGGCTCGCGGCGGGCAACCGCCCTGGGTGCCGCCGAGCCTAGTGACCCCACTTGTAGTAGGCGACGAATTTCCCGGCTCGTTTTACAACAGTGTGTTTAAAATGAGTCCAATGACATAAATGCTGCGCTCTACCCCGTTTCAGTAGTTAAACACGAGGAAGATACATAGAAAAGGGGGCGGACAACAATGCACGCTACGAGCCATCGGATGTTCACCAACTCGCCCAGCTTACCACTATTTTCTATATGAGCCATCAGAACCAATTGAAAGCCCGAGTGAGTTTCCCGAGACCGCGGATCTCTACGGCAATAGACCTTCTACCGAATTAAGCACCAAGGAGAATGCCGGGAACGTAGGTACACGCGCTGCGCGTGCTGGTGTCTGCAGCTGGAACTGTTCGAAAGGAAACATCTAAAACAAATGGCACTTCGCACGCGCGTTCCAGAAGCACTTTATTTTGGTTGTTTACTTCAAATATTTTGTATAGGGAAGGCGAGCACGTGCAGCAGCGCGTGTACCTACGTTCCTGGCATTCTCCTTGATGATTGGGTAATCTAGAGAAAGGTCTATTTGATGGATCGCGCACCCCGCTAGGTCCCTGCAGCGCAAGCGCGGCCACAGGACGGCCATCTTGCGACACAGAAAGTCGACCCTTTGGAGCGTGGCAGAGGCTGGGCGGCAGCGTGCTGAAGACTCGTTCTCTGCTCGTTCGTCGTCATTCGCCGAATAAGTTTTTTTAAAGCCTTGTGTAAACGGTGGGAATCGCCTTTGCGAACACGTGGAAAATTTTTGCAAAAGCGCAGCACCGCAGGAAAAAGGCACAACTCGTCGAACGCAAGTCTCGCCGGTCCCGCGGCGTGATCAAAGCTTCCTTGGCACGCCGAAGTGATGCGTCTATGTGGCCTTGCGGTCTTGCGTGCCAAGGAAGCTTTGATTAGGCCGCGAGACCGGCGAGACATGCGTTCGACGACCAGTGCCTTTTGTAGCGTGAGCTACACTGGCCGAGGTTGAGCAGTTTCGTGTGGCTCATGGAGAGCCGTGCTGCGCATGCGCGAGGAGCAGTGACGTCACACGGCGCACAGCTGGCGCGCCTGGCCTGTCTGCGCATTCCAAAGGAGTGACGGCATAGCTGCGGCAGACGCACTGGCGCCGCCACGTGCCCAGCTCTGCGCCTCCGTTACGCAGTAGGCAAGTCTGACGCTGCACCGGAGCCGCTTGAAAGTGCCTTTCATTTTCTTTTTACCGGCAGCGCTGCGCTTTCGCAAAAATTTCGACGTATTCTCAAAAACATTTCTCACCGTAAAAAAAAAAAAAAGAAAAAAAAATGACGAGTGACGATAAACGAGCAGAAAGCGTGATCTCAGCACGCCGCCGCCCAGCCTCTGCAACGCTCCAAGAGGTCGACCTTTTGTGTGGCAAGATGGCCGTCCGTTGGCCGCATTCGCGAAGCGGGGGAAGCGCGATCCAGCAAATAGGGCGTTTTCGTAGACCGTTTCCCCTCCTCCGCTACGCTCTCAGGAAAAAAGACGCCACTACTGCACACGCGCAGAGCTAGCCTTGTCTGCAGGGTCCCGGAACTCGTAGCGGGTTGTGGTAAACGTGCAATCCAGGCACCTAAAAGAAAATTCGTGTATGTGCGTGTGTGTGCCTCCCCCCCCCCCCCCACACACACACACGAACACACGAACACGAGTTTGGTGTCCTGAGTGATTCTGAGACATAGCTTTTTTACATTGTCGTACTTATTGCGCTATCTTTTTTTAAACTTTGTTTTGTGATTTACGTGTCCTATCCAGGCACACAAAAAAAAAAACTCACTTTTATTTTGATCTGTTGACCCATAGCCCCCTCTATACTCTGTACGCTTGGCAGTTCGACAACGGAGCCATAGAGTGCCCGGTCGCAGATTTGGAGCGCGAGAATCTGGGCCCGTTTGCTCGAAGCCGGTTAACTTTAACCTTCCCTACTAGGTACCTACAAGTACCTAGCCAAGTTTGACGAGGGCTGGATGGGCGATAGCTCCGTGTTTTATAATGGGGTGGTAGCTGGTGTCACCTCCTGGCTGTAGCGAATATACGTGGCTTCCGTGGAAAGGTTCCCGAAATGGGGGGACCCAAAAAATGCGCTCTGCCTGATTTTCGCGACGCAGCACGGCATACATTTGAGCTTAAGAAACAATTTTTATTGCTCGTGGTACAAATAATCGGCGAGGTAAAACTGAACTATCCCTTGTTTGGAAATTTACTAAATATTTGACTGTATGAAGTGAAGAAAAGCATGGTTGAAATTTCCTTCCGAGTTCGAAAGAGGACGACGAAGTTTAGTCCTAGAAGCGATGAGAAAGAAGTGAGCAGTGGAAGGCGGGCGGTACACCGGCAGCATGGTTGGCCAGCATGTAACAACTGTATATAAAACCCATCATAAATTGAAAACCATGTAATTAGGCTCCACTGAAAATTGACCTATTAGTAAATATCCCGAACATCGAGGAGAACGCTGGAAGTGTAATTCTACGATCCGCGCGCGCTGGCCTTCCTCTTATAAAAGATTTGAAGTAAATAATCATAATAAATCTTTGACGAACGTGCGTGCACGGCAAAATGTGTTTTAGGCTTTTTGCTTCGGAACAGTTATTACTGCAGACTCCAGCAGGTGCAGCGCATGTAACTACACTCGCAGCATGCACCTCGGTGCTTTTAAAATTTAGCAAAAGGTCTATGGGAACGCTCTCTGCTTTTGTGTGCTATCAATACCCGGCCGATTGAGTCAAGGCAATCCACTTTCCAAAGACGTTGCCATGCCGACAACTATCGCTTTCATTTAGGCTTAGGAATGGCCAGAGTCGAAAGTCTATCGAAAAAATGCGGCGATGTCATTGCTCATGTTTTGCGTTTTAATTGAGGTAAGGCAACGTGAAAACCTCCTGCACCATTGATTGCTGACAAACGCGCCCGCTACTGCAGCGACGTATTAGTTCCAAAGCGAGCGGCGCTCACTCACCGGGGCACCGCCATGTTTCCCCGCCGTCCTTACTCTGCCAGTCACGTGACCCAAAATCCCCCTCGTAGGGAAATCCGGTTAGTTAACCACAACGTTACTAAAACACTCAGTTGAGAAACTCGCCGTCGAACCCTGGGCTGGCGTCCACCGAGACCGAGCTAAATGCGACAACAGCGCCACTCTTTATCATTTGTCTGTACTGTGGTCACCTTGAGGTTTCTGAAAGCCTGTTTTTGCGTAAAAACAAACGGAAAAGACTCTTTTTGTATGAAATTTATTGGAGTTTAGTACCAAATGACGGGGGCGTGATGTTTTTATCATCTTTAGTTCGCAGGGTTTTGCGGAACAATTAATATTGTTTTTATAAAACCATGCCTCAGCGGGCCTTTCAAGTAGCGCGTCCAGACCTAGGTCCATTTATTTAGTGGAGATTTAGTGGAGAAATTTTTCCGCTAGATTTAGCGGGAAAATTTTTCTGCTAGATTTAGCGGGGAACTTTTTCCGCTAAATCTAGCGGGGAAATTTTTCCGCTAGATTTAGCGGGGAAATTTTTCTGCTAGATTTAACGGGGAACTTTTTCCGCTAAATCTAGCGGGGAAATTTTTCCGCTAGATTTAGCGGGGAAATTTTTCTGCTAGATTTAACGGGGAAATTTTTCCGCTAGATTTAGCGGGGAATATTTTTCGCTAGATTTAGCGGGAAAATTTTTCCGCTAGATTTAGCGGGGAATTTTTCCCGCTAGATTTTTCCGCTAGATTTAGCGGGGAAATTTACCCATAATGCACGGCGCGGTTACGCCGACGGCGACGGCGACGGCGACGGCGACGCCGACGCCGCTCAGGCTGGGAACGGGCCACTAAGAGCTGGGCTCTAAAACTGAATGGGAGGAGGAGGGGAGGAGGAGGGGCATACCCTCCTCTCCGTACCCTCCCTTATTCCTCCTGAAGAGTTGAGCTCCAATTTCGCATTACAAAGATTTGTAAACGTCTTTAATTTTTTTTTTATTTCCCTTTCTTCGGCTTTTTTTTTTTTTGTTATCCCCCGTTTCCCCTCATCTCTCAGACATTACCGGCGTCTCTACACAAACCGCCTGTGGGTGACCCCGGTGGCGTTGTTGACAGTGGCGGAAGATGAGCTCTATAAAGCCGCCCGCGTACACCGCGCACAAAGTTCAATCTTCGCCTCGATTCCGAAGCGAAGATTTTGGCCTCAAATAACTCCTTCCCAAAGTTGTGAAACGTCACTTTGTCGTCACCAATAACTTCCACAAACGACGATCTTGCGACGAGAAAGTTCAGAGTATTTACCGGCCGTCTAGGTACAATCTACGCACCATTGACTCTAACGCGGCGTAGTGATGTAGGGACACTCGGACGAGACGTTATCAGTGCAGCCGTTCAGTCGGCTGGCACCATGGTGTTGCTCGCACGCGCTTCGATGGAGCTCGCTACGACTTTGTGTTTTACATTCTCGCTGAAATTTGAGCATCGAGAGAGCTTGGATGATTGACACCTCGCTCGGCTTGACGTCAGCGTCGCGAGGGTCCAATCAGCACGTTCCGCAACTTCCTGACACAAAGTTGTGCTCGACGAGTTTAGCTACCCTGGTAGCACAGAGCATCAAAGAGCCATTTCTCCGGGAACCTGGACGTCAGTGCACAGCTTTTGCGGGGGCGAGGACTCGAAACACACTTGTTCCCTCGGGAGAAGTGTGGGTTCGGCGTCTCGCCGCAGCGGGGCGCCAGTCACGTGGCTCTCCTCTCATTCGTTGTTGGCCGCTCCACCTTTTCCATTTCGGCGGCCGCTTCTCGTGGCGATCTGCCAGCCTTTGTCAGTACATAGAAGGCTATGGTTGATCAAACTGTCATATTCAAAAATTGCATTTTGTGAGGAACGAGCGGACGCTGACTCCAGTCTCAGCCTTCCAGGCACGTGATGCCGTGCCAGTGTTGCCACGACCTCCTTTTTTACCGTTTTTTTCTTGTTGTTTCAGAAGCTTTTGCAGCTAGTGAAATCTTCTAGGAGCGTCTGGGAGCTCTCTCTCCCGCCCCATATTTTTCAGTTACGCTGTGTGACCGGCAGAACTCGAGGCGCAGGTGCTTGGAGGCTGGCATACTCTCTTGGACCTTGGCACGCTTCACCCACTTTTCTTTTTTTTTTTGAAGGCTGGCTTTAGTAAGAAGCCAAATCCGCATTAAAATCTATTTGTAAAAGGTACACTCTTCCTCTCCGTTCAATGAACATGAATTAACCGCCGAGGTTACTCTAATGGCGCGTTCACACTGGAAGCGGATCCGCAAACGCGAAGCGGATCCGCGCGTTCTCGACCGCAAAGCGGCTAGGATCGAGCGGTTGGAGCGCGTTTTTGCCAACCGCTTCGGGACCGATTTCTCCCAACCGCTTTCACGAACCGCAAAGCGGCAACCAATCACAACGCGACGCTGACGTGACGTCAGTGACTTGCGAAACAAGATGGCACCCTTCGCTGGTGAGGCGTCCAAGAGCTGTGGTCCTAGCACTGTAGTCTTAGCTTTCGACAAATCAACGGAGAAACTCGATGTTCACGTCCGTTACTTGATTCCGCCGCGAACCAGTGATTTGGTTTGGGTAAGAGTTTGTTGATTATTCCGGGTGCCACAGCCCAAGCTCGCTGCCTTGTTAATCTCTGCCTGTAGAACGTCGGAACCCGCCCCTGATCGACTGAAATGTCAGCTTTTCTACCCACTAGGATGGTCGCGTGAACTATTGAAAGCTTTCGACACCGTGCATGACCACCACGAAGGCCGATAGAGACGTCGTGAGCTTGATTGCATAGCCAACGTACTACCGCGGAGCGGGCAGGGTACCTGCGCTAGCTCGACCTGTAACGTTTCCTACTAACAAAATAAAGAAAGGGAACCTAACCAAGGAATAAAGTGTACGTACCAGACAATGCAGAGGTAATCCATACGGCGTTTATTTGAGCTTAATGTCAAACAAACAGTAGACTTGATCGACGTGCGAGTGACGAGAGGAGAGTCCGCCACCAACGAAGCCACGACCGGCTAGCACCGAACACATTCCCCGCAGCACGGTCCACCCCACCGCTCAGTCACAACTTCAAAAATGATAAGAGCGAACAACGAGGGGGGAAAACTGGCCCTCTATCCCGAAAACAAGGTCAGCTATTCGTGCGGGAAGGATGCACTTCGAAGAAAAGGTTGGTGGCGTCCCGTTCTGAGTCAGCAAGGCGCGCCTAGCTGGGCTTTGCTTATGGGCGAAGTCGAGGGAATCACAGGCGAGTTTGGCGGGCCCATGCTTCTTTTTTCGCTCCCTGAACTCGTGATGCGAGCAAACATCCCGGGAAAAATCTTCAGAGTGGCAAAACAGCAAAAGTTCGGCTTTGCATCGTGGATTAAAGTGGATTTTGGATTGTAAAACAGGGTTGCCAAACGCAAGTCTCGAAAGATCACGCGTGATCGCCGAGAAACCGCCAACCGCCTCTTGGTGTGTCTGAACGGGGTCGCTCGCAGACCGCATCCGCAACCGCTTCGCGAACGCGGATCCGCTTCCAGAGTGAGTGCGCCATAAGTGCGACCGGATCGCTTTCGCTTCACGGTGCTGCCACTACACGAGCGTTCGTGCAGCCGTGATGCGATCCAACGAAAGGAGTTCTCACTTATTGCCTGGCATCGCGTGATTGTTCCGTACTTTGTCAATAGACTCATAAAACAACGCAATTAAAAACGCCCGAATGAGTGTCGGCTTCGACCCACAAACCTTGATGAAGTGGAAGAGCTCGTCGTCGTCCTTTCGAAACCCTCGTTCCCCGTTGCTCGCGCTAGGCGACAGGACCTCCTGCGA